GTCGTCAGTATGTATGTGTTTGTATGTACGTGTGTGTATGTATGCGTTTGTATGTGTTTGTATGTTTGTATGTACGTATTCATGTATAGTTTTAAGCGTGTTTTAGTATTTTTGTATACATGTAATATATCTTTTCAGGGGTATAAGTATTTATAAATTGATTTTCAACTTTATAATAATTATCCCCATCGTCGTCGTCATCACCATCATAACCACCACCACCACTATCATCATCATCATCATCATCATCATCATCATCATCATCATCATCATCATCATCATTGCCATCCCTTTTATCGTCATCATCATCATCATCATCACAACTTTCATCGTCATCATCAGCATGACAAGAACGTGAGCAATTTAATTAAATGCGATAGAAGTCAAAAAACAAAGAGATAAAACAGCCAAAAGAGTAGGTCTTTTGAAAAAAAGAGTGGCCTCTCATACGTTCATTCATTTATTGATTCGTTCGTTTGTTCACTCATTCATCTCATTTCTATCTATGTTTTCATTCACTCATTCATTAACTAATTTATTTATTAAATCATTCATTTCTGAAATTTATTGTTCATGTACTAATTTGTATATTTATTCATTTACTGATTCATCCATCCATTCATCCGTCTATTATTCTAACAATTTATTCGTTTATTTGTTCATTCACTCATTCATTCATTTATTCATTTATCTATCCTTCCATCCATCCATCCATTTATTTTTCCTGCCATTTATTATCTCCTTTTCTCACCAATCTATCAATCAATTTATTAGTACAATTATTTCCTAAGTCCAACCATCCATCTATATTCAGATAGTAATTTCTTCAATTATTTATTCATCCATCCATTTACATCCATTCATCGGTCATTCATTCATTTATTCATCCATTCAAATGTTCATTCATTCACTCATTCATTCAAACATTCACCTGTTTATCCTTTTATCAGTCCGTTCGGTTTTCAATGCTCTGTCCCATTAATTCAATTTTCCATTTACAAATATTTTTATCAATACATCCAGTCTTTTTTTATTTATTCATTCATTCATCCATCAATCTATTCATCCATTTCTTCATTCCTCAACTCATCCATCCATCCATTCATCAATCCATCCATCCATCCAAACATCAAACTATCTATTCATACATCCATCTATCCAACCTTCAATCTATCCACCATCCAACTATCAATCTATCCACCCATCCATCCATCAATCTATCCATCCATCCATCCGAAAAGGAAAAGAAAGTTTGATGTCCTCGACCGGAAACAAACACGTCGATGACGTCATCTCGTTCGGATTGTTGTTCGCGGTTTCTATTGGTGTGGGAGTTGGTGTGGTACTCGGCGGCATCCTGCTGTTTCTGGCTACGAAGTACTTTAAAAAGTAAGTACCACGTGCGTGTGTGTGTATGTGCGCGCGCGCGCGTGTGTGTAATGTAACAGACAAGTAGGATCATGTTCTTATAAAAAAAAGCAAGCCAGTGGTCTCGTCAACTTTCTTTATCAAACTTAAACAGATATGTACCATTTATCAGGAGTGTAGGCATACATAACAACGCATATGTATGCACATACACACAAACACACACACGCACACACACGCACACACACATGCACACACACGCATACACAATTGATTACATATGCATCAACACTGAGCGCCTACTTCTTAGATGTATGTATAAGTCATGTCTAAGACATGAGTGCGCCGTATTTATAAAATTAATTTGTTGGAGCGTAAAGTAATTATTACCTAGCTGCATATCACACTGAAACGTTTTTATGACATAATTATTATTAATTATATCATTTATAATTATGCTATAATTGCAGTTGTAATAAAAATTTTCAATATAACATCATTTGCGTTCAAAGCAGGTTCAAAGGTTCACAAAACCGTAGTGCTGGTTACATTCAACCCCGTGAACAATACGTCTGCCTTGGTAACAAACACCCTCCCACTTCCTTCACGTCGACCAATCACAACACGAGAGCCGGATCCTCAGCCAATCAGAGTAAAGTACATCGGCCGACCAGCTTATCACAGTGGTGTTCGATAGACTCGCACATATCAACGGCCAATAAGAGTTGCGAATCAGAGCTAAGCCAGGAACCCATTTGCAGATTTCCAACAAATCAGACAATTTCGTCATCAATCAACTGGCCACTTATAGTTTCTGAAACCACGCCCATGCACGAAAGAAACGATGTGATTGGTTGCTGCAAGATGACCACATCGTTCAACCAGCCAATAGAAACAATCACGTGTCCAGAGTGCAACCTCGTCAGGAACCCAGTGATCAATTCGACGAATTTAAATTGAGATTATACATAAAAAACGAATTATATTAAAAATATTATCACTTTTATAATAATAATTATTATTATTTATTTAAATAAAAAAATGTATATAAAGTGTCTTTTATAATAACGTAATGATAGCATAACGACTGTGTTTTTCCCGCATGTAATGTGCATGTTTCAAGATCACATGTATCATTTAATAATTACAACAACGACAACAAAATTTTTTATAATTTTGACGATAATAATGACAATATTAATAATTTAGAAAAAAAAAACAACCAACCGATTCATCACAACAACTTGAAATTGATTCATAACTCCAGAGTCGCAGAGATGAATGTATGAAATAAATCACATCATCATCATTGGTCGTTCGTAAACTATTGTTCTCTTTTGGCTTCACGAAGATCAGCAATTCAGAGTTAAGTTGGCGTATTGTTTACCGTTCGTTAACTATTTTAATCTAACAATCATGAAATCTATTTTAAAAATGTAAGATGCTGTTGTTTCCGGTTTGTGAGATCCTCAAACGATTTAAAGTCAGCCATGAGTTCGCGTACTATAGTTCAATTACTCCTTAAAAAAACGCAGGTACAAGTCGGTACGCTTGATCATACACTGGCTAACACTAATGTTAAACTTTGAAACAAACATTACCATTGAGATCAAAGTTATATCTCATATCTTATATAACTGTTATCCTATATCTAAATTAAACTATATCTTACATAAATTATATCTTAGATAACTTACATCTTATATAACCGATATCATATTATAACTGATATCATATATAATTTATATATCAGTGATTAACACCGGTTATGATACCTGAAATTTGCTACTTGCCTAAACACTTCGAAAAGCCGTACGCTCTGCTTTCGTACTATCGGCAGATCTTTCAGAAAAACTTTTGTTCTAAGCTAAGCTTAAGTTTTTTATAGGAGCTCTTTGCCTTGAAAACCTTAATGTTTCTGATGTGATTTGTCTTGTAATGATAGCATGAACAATGTACGTAATGTAATGTGTATTTACAGATCACAAATATCATTTAACAGCAACTGATTGTAATAACAATAACAAATAGATTAATAATTATGGAGATAATTGCAATAATATTAATAATTAAAGAATATATAATCGATTTATTAGAATAATTTACAAATAAAATGAATAGCATATATAGAATCAAATAACATTGGTGTAGAACTTAGTTTATTATGTATGTGTATATATGTGTGGATGTGTAATTTGTATACGTATATAGAGACAACAAATTTGAAGTAATATTAATATAATTTAAAATTGGAAAACAAATAAATAAAAACAATCAAACATACAACACAACTTTGAATTTAAAGTAAACCAACAAGAATGTATGCATGCATGTGTTGTGTGTGTTTGTGTGTCTGTACGTGTGTGTGTTTAAGCGTTATTTTATACGTAATGTATGTAAAACAAAGAAATAATAAAATTTAAAATACGTTGAGCAGCTTTAGAATCTATGTAATCAATAATTTAAATTTAAATTCAAACAAGGATACATCCATTTTTAGATGAAGAGGAGTTGAAAAAGTTACGTTAAGATGATGATGTCAAACTAATTCTAATAAACATTGAAAAGTTCTAAAGAAGTCGTAACTTAATCTTAATATAATGTAAGTAAGTTTCCGTAAAAAATCTCAACCAATATCAATCAACCGATCGACCAATCATTCAACCAACCAACAAATCAACCAACCAATCGCTCAACCAGCCTCTAACAATAACTGAAGCATTAATAATAATAATAATAATAATAATAATAATTAATAATAATAATTATTATTATTATTACAATAATAATTATAATAATAATTAGTAATAATAATCAATAATCATTTCAGCACAATGACTTCATCCCTGTTTCCTCAAATTCTGACCAGGCATCATTGAGTTCTATGAAGATGAGGCGGGCTAAATTCTCTTGCGGGTGGCCAGTCAGCTGTACGGTGTTTGCATAAATGAGTATCTATTTCTTCATTACCAACGCCATTGTATCATTATTATCATCGCCATTGTCATTATCATCGTCGTTCTAATCATCGACAGACCACAAATCAACCCCACCTTCCCAGGCTCTCAACCATGCAAAGCCAGCTATTGAAACAAACCTTGTCTGGATGTACGGACAGGACGGCCTTCCTGTACCACTTCTTGACCTGGTCACTGGTCACCAGCTGGTGCATGCCCACCTGTTTCCATCTGTCTTCCCCATCCCACAGGACCGTATGCAGGGAGCATAGAAGGGCGCGAATGTTTCGCTCTTTGCCCTCTATCCATTCTCGAACCTGGCAAGCGTTTGAGAAATTGAAAAGGTGGGAAGGTGAGGTTTATTATTAAACAAATAAACCGCCAGACAATCAACAATCTAACCTTCAATCTCTCCGGATCAATATCCTTAGCATCTAACTCCCTCCTCATCTCTTTTATAGTCTTCGGTTCCTTCTTGGCGGAAGAGGAAGTGAACGAGTGGCCGCCCAGCAGATCTTCAAATGCGTCTTGCGGTACAGCGGGTTTCACCCCTTATCAGTGTAGTAGGTGGGAGAAATCAATAAATGCGCCACCCCCGATAATGTACAAACAATTATAACAACAAACCGAATCCTTTCTTAAGTCCCCTGTCCTCCCTACCGCCGATAACGCTTGAAAAAGCACTTCCTGTCGTTGATGTAGTAGCCGCTGCTGAAGCAGCTGTTGTAGCTGCTGAGATGTTGGCTGAAAATAACGATTACTATGATGAAAATTATAACAATGACCTTAGCGTGTGTACGTGAATGTGGGAATGTGCATGTATTAATGAGTGTAACATGCCTAATACACACACCCACACAAACACACACACACCACACACACACATACATACATAAATACGCAAATACACACCAATACACACCCTTTTGGAATGTTGATTGTTGTTTTGATGGCTGTGCTGCTGCTACTGTTGGTCTATTGAATGTTGTTGACGGTTTTGTTGCTGCGGTAGACATGCTGAAACCTTCATTAGAAACCGGAAACATTTATTTAGATTTTCATTCGTCTCAAGTAAATAAAAAAAAGACAAAATAAAATATTACATCAAAAGAAGAATGAAATAAAACTAATTACAAAGAGATAAACCTAAATCTTGGAAAGGGTCAAACGTATTCTGTTGAGTAGCAACGGCAGGCTTGTTGAATGCAACAAAACTAGACGGTCTAGGTATGGAAGTTGTTGTTGCAATGTTGTTGTGAGTCCACGTACCAAGCAGGTCATCTGAAGAGCCAGCCTTTGCGGTAGACTTGTTGTTGATCAACAATTTGTTGCCCAACAATGTCGTGTTTGTTGCTGGAGGAGGAGGAGGAAGAGATTGTTGTTCAGGGGTTGATTGCGTCATCGTGTCAAGGAAATTGAAGAAATCCACGTCACCTGTGCTCCTTTCGTTGGTTGCTGTAGTGGTCGTTGTAGTAATCGTCGGGTTTTTTGAAGTTGTAGTTGCTGGTTTTGTTGTTGTTGTCGCTTGTTGTTGTTTGTTCTGGAAAGGATCGAATGATGAATGGAAAGAGAGAAATTCCTTGTCTCGCTGCTTTGCATCGTCTTTGTTGCTGATGTTGCTGTCTTCAAGGTCGTCAATGAGCAACATGTTGAAGGGGTTGTTGCTTTTTGATGTTGTTTGTAGCTGCTGTGGTTGCTGCTGTTGCTGCAGCTGTGGTGACTGGTCAGTAAACAAGTTGAAATAATCTACATTTGCTTCATCTGTATGTGCCACATGTTGCTGTTGATGTTGCTCCGACTCATCCCTGCACATTTCCTCGTCATCATCAACAACGATCGTCGATTCAACATTCTTATTAGTTGCACTATCAACATTATTCTCCGCTGTTTGCCGGCCAAATGCTTCCCAATCGTCACCCAACAAGTTGGCCACTTTAACTTTGCTAGAGCCATCTTCCCCATCGTGATGGAACCGACTTTTCACACCATTGCCTACGTCATCATTATCATCATCTACGTCATCATCAACGAGCTTTAACTGGTTTATTCTCTCTTGAGAAAACGCATCGAAATCGACGCTTTCTGATTGGTTTGATTTAATTAGCTCCCGGGGGTGAGGCCTGCTCTGGTTGGTTGCTATTTTCGGAGGGAGTGGTTTTTCTGGAGGAGCTCGTTTCACCTTCGGTTTTTCCGCGGGGACATTGAGAGGAACAAAAAACTTGGACTGCGGTTTTGGAGATGATGAGTCGTCACTGTTTTGGCGGTTCATCAGCTTCGGAGATGGGTGGTGGCTAGTCGACCGTCTGTCTCTGCTGCCATCTGCCAAGTAAAATATCAACAGGAAATGGAAATCACGTGATGTATGTGATTGAAGAAACAAAAAACGAGAATATTGTAGAGATACTTCTCCATAAAAAACTACCAGTATAGAATCAACAACTGCAAAATCAGTGCAACTACTACTACTACTACTACTACTACTGCTGCAACTACTACTACCACTAACAACAACAACAACAATAATAATAATAATTATGATAATAATAATAATATAATAAGTATGAATAATAAAAATTATAACAGTCTAACCAATGTTGGAGAGTTCCCTGGCCAGGTTGATGTACTCGTTTTCGCTGGTTATCAGGGCTGTATAAAACGGCCTGCAAGATGAAATAATTACGCAATTAATATTATCATCATCTTTTATAATTATTAAAATTATAAAAAAATATTAGTTATTATTATTATTATGATAATTATTAATTACGTCATGACAACACCGAGAACAATAATGAGGATAATTGTGAATGAGCTAGTGACGATAACAAACAGCCCTAAGGGTATCCATTTCAACCTGCTCCTATGCATAGCTGCAAGCATCTCCTTCATCTGATTGTTGGGCGGAACTTCCTGCGACGTCACAGAAAGTTCAAGGTCGACCTCGAACTCTTCAGGGTACTTTGCATCTTGTTGTGGGTCAAGATTATCGAGGTCAGTTCTGTTTCGATTAAGTAGGTCAGATCAGATCGTCATTATTAAGTAGGTCAGATCAGACTATCATTGTTATAATTATTATTAGTAGTAGTAGTAGTTGAATTACGATTAAATTATGTAAAAGGTTATAATTATTTGTGAATAATTATTTATAATAATTAATTTTTATAGTTGTAACGAATGAAACAGTAAGAAATGGATGACAGATGAACTTAATTGTAAGCGAAAGAGAAGGGACGAACATTTGAAAGTTGATATTTTTAACAGAGTCCTCTATGAAGCCAGCATTGAACTGAATTTGAAATATCTTCACTGACGTCATCTACAATTCATAATACAATTAATTCACAATTAATTCATAATATAATCAAAAATATTTTAGATAAGCAATGCCAAAGATTCCGAGTTCGAAATCCAGTTGATCCCTTAAATATAACTAACAAGCAGATAAAAAAAACCTTTACATAGGTTACCCCAAAAAATAATATTAATCAGCAAATTATGCTAATTAGCGTGACCTTTCCTTGAACTTTGGAGCCGATAGTTGACCTAGCGTGGTAGAGGATGATGGTGACGTCATCGGTCACCATGGTGTCTAGTTCCAGACGCACCCTGCCGTCCCCTATGACGTATGACCTAGGAAGTGCGATGATGATGATGATGACAGTATGGTGATGATTACAGTGGTGGTAATGATGATGATGATGATACTGATGTCGAAATGAAGATGCCGTTAATAATGGAAACGATATGACTGAAAGTTCAAGGCCGACCTATTCATTTTGCTTGAAAATTGAAGAGGGCTATGATGACGAAAGCAACAGCATAATTATGACGTCATCGTCAACAACAACTACAACAAGCAAACAAATGAACGAACAAACAAACGAACAACGACAAACTTCATGGAGTCATAGTCCTCGCTACTGACAAATATCTTCTCATCGCCAACATACACTTCGATGTAAGGTCTACAGCCTGTCCTAATGAAGTCGCGATGAGACGTCCCAGCGATGATGATGACGTAATCATATCAATAAAAACAACAACAACAACAACAACAACAACGTTAACAATAACAACAACAACAAACCACATTAACGACGTAATAATCCTTCATAGCAACGACAACGCAGACGTACTTCATCTTATTAAATAGAGGGACAGGCTGTATTGTGATTCGCCGCAGAGTTACAAAGTTGTTGTTGGGTAGTTGTGAGGACGACGACGACGATGATGATGACATCCTATTAGCTATCTGGTTTATGTAGCCTATGTATCTAGGTGAAATTGAATGAAATGCGTTTCAAATCGTAGATTTTGTTGCTATGATTTCAAGACGCTGGTTGGTTTAATGATTGAATGATTGATTGAAGGGATCGAATGAATGAATGAATGAATGAATGAATGAATGAATGATTTGAAAGATTGATTGAATGAATGAATGAATGAACGAATGAATGATCATGTCATCAAGATGAAAGATTAACAGATGGTGATGAAAAACTGAAGAAAATAATATTATCATTGTCATCATAACGTATGTAATCATCATCGTCGTCGTCGTCAGCACCATCTTCAACAGCGGCAGTAGCAGCAACTTCATCAGCTGCAGCAACAGCAGCAGCAGAAATATCATCATAACTACCATCAACTACAACAACAACAAAATCATCGCAACAATAACAACGACAACAACAAAGACAACAACAACAACAATGACAACAACAACGACGAACCTCAACTGAGAGGCGGTGAGTTTAGGATTGAACCTTCTGCTAGAGAACAATGAGACGGCCTGCATGATGTCATCGACCAGACGACAGTAACAAAGAAAGGAGCACGTGACCGTCGCCGAGATGTTCCCGCCGTTCTGAAGTATTATTAGAGAATAATAAAAAGATAGATAGATTGATAGCTATATAGATAGACAGATAGAGAGAGAAAGAGAGAGAGAAAAAGAGAGAGAGAGAGAGAGAGAGAGAGAAACAGAAAACATGTTCCTGTCATTTTAAAACTTTAAAAATGTGTGTTGAAAGACAACATAATGAGGAAAAAAGAAGAGAAGGAAGGAGAAAAAAGAGAGCGAGAGAGAGAGAGAGTAAAAGTGAAAGTAGAAGAACAAATAAAAATGATCGAATTAGCAGCAGAAGCAGCAGCAGAAGCAGCAGCAGCAGCAGCAACAAGAGCGACCAACCAAGCAATGCAGCACGACGACGTTGTGGTGCGATTGCGACAGCCACTTGTACATGTTCTGACAGATGGATAACAACAAGGCTAGAGGTGGCGCTTTATTCATCCTCCAGCCACATTCTGATACCTTCAATCCATCGTTTAATCAACTAATCAATCAAACAAACAATCAGACTCTTCTCAATCATTTGCATTGTAAAAGAGAACTTACAAACCAGCCAGACAATCAATCGGTCAACCAACAGCATGCCAGGAAACCTATCGTTCAGTCAATCAATCAACCAACCAGCCAATGAACTTACTCTATTCTCAAACTTGGCAGCCTTATAATGAGTGTTAGATAGATTGTAGACAGCATAAGCACACGGATGTTTATTATCTAGGTACATTCTGACGTCATCAATATGGTTGCGCGTGCTCGAGTCGACGCCATCGTGCGGAAATGACGTCACGATCAACCTGCTAGTCAGGTAGCTCAAGTCCATTGTTGAGTTGTTGTTCGACGACGACGATGATGAAGGCATACTGGATTGACTGTTGATTGTTTTGATGAATGAGAAGATGGCTGGTAGTCTCAGTTGTCTGTTTTGTCTTCGATCGGATTTAAATGCAATCATCATACATACACATGTGAGTGTGTCAGCACATGCATGTCTCTGTGTGTGTGCGTGCGTGTGTGTGTATTTGTGTGTGTGTGTGTCTGTGAGAGAGAGAGAGAGAGAGAGAGAGAGTGAAAGAGAGAGAGAGAGAGAGAGAGAGAGAGAGAGTATGTGTGTGTTCGCAGGAGTGAATCGTGCTTCAAGTCAGTTTTTAAGATTACCAAAAATAACAATTCAACAATGGAACGGCCAAAGCATCATCACAAACATCAATGAACAACATCAGCCATGACAATAACATCATCATCATCAGCAGCAGCAGCAGCAAAAGCAGCAGCTACAGTAGCGACAACAACTAACGCGGATACACCACTGACAACTTTTGATGATACCTCCCTAACATTTTTCATCAGGCCAGCCGCACTCTCCTTCAGCTGGCCCAAAAAACCAAAACCTCCACCCCCACCACCGCTACTATTACTATTACCGCCGCCGCCACCACCATAACCATGTGGTAAGGACGGCGACCCTCTGCTCTGATTGGTCGATTGATTTAAGGTTACAGCCGTCGCTGTAGACAGACTGTTGTTGTTGTTGTTTGATGTGATGTTGTTGTTCGATGTTGTTGCTATACATGTCGGCACTGAATCTGCTGTAGTTGTTGGTGTAGTTTTAGGTGTAGTTTGTTTATTTATTTATTCATTGATTTATTTATTTAACAAACAAACTGTTGTTGTTGTTGTTTGATGTGATGTTGTTGTTATTCATTTATTACAAATCTCTTTTTAGTATAGAGGTTTCAAGAACAAACAAACAAACAAACAAACAAACAAACAAACAAACAAACAAACAAACAAACAAACAAACAAACAAACAAACAAACAAACAAACAAACAAACAAACAAACAAACAAACAAACAAACAAACAAACAAACAAACAAACAAACAAACAAACAAACAAACAAACAAACAAACAAACAGTGTATGTATGTAAGTAAACCTGGATTAACGCATCACACACACAGACGTTGCATGTAACAGGCACGGGCTCGAATCAAGTCGCAACGACAGTAGAGCCAGGCAGCTTAACCATTACACCATTGCCCCGTCACTAACTGAGAAAAATAATAATTGACAACAGTACAAACCATTATGAGAGAGATTTGTGCCATCAAAAATCAATGGTGATTCTGGGTTGACGTTGAATGTGGTTGCTAGAAGTTCGAGCTGTTCAACTATGTCCTCGATGTTTGGTCTTTCAAGAGGGTGTGGCTTCAACATCATTTCTGAAAAGTAAGGAGGATGGCAGTGGGAGTAGATAGAGAGAAGAGAAAATTGTTTTTTCATTCGGAAGTTCATTTGTCTGTTTGTTTCTCTAATTAATACATCCAGCAATACATTCACTTACACACACACACACACACACATCCACACACGCACACAGACGCACGCACACGCACACATACGCACACACATACGCACAAATTAACTAACTAATGAGACTATGGAATTCAGTGAATTGTGTGTCAGTAGGAGGTATTGTGAAGTTGGCATTTATAATCCTCAACTTTGCAGAGTCCTCAAAAGGATGTACGTTGAAACATAATGCATATAAGATGCACCCTAGGGCCTGTGGGTAGTTCATTCGTTCATTCATTCATTCATTCATTCATTCATTCAATCCTTTCAATCCATCATTCAATTAACAAACCAACCAACCAATCAGTCCACCATCCAGTCAATCGAGTGAGACCAATCAACCAACCGACCATTCAGCAGCCAATCAAATAAGAGAAACCAACCAACCCAGACATCAGCCTGTTCATTGATTGGATAATTTTGATACAGATCCAACATCTCAGGTGCCCTATACATGGGGGTTGTGTTTTGGGCCATCTATAATTATTTTACAAAATTATTACAAATTATTAAAATGATTATAATTAATAATTATATAAACAAACCACCAGAAGCAAATGACAAAACGTTAAATGATGTTTCAAAAACCTATCTCATCTTACTTACAAAGGTTCTGAAAAAACCCCAAACAAATAACCACAAATAAAAAAAGAAATAAGATTAAGGTTCCAAAAAAAGTACCTCATCTTCCACAGTATTCCTCCTAGCAGTTGTCCAGGTGTCATCTGGATATTGAGCTAATGTCGTGCTACTACCAAAATCACATAACTTGACCCTGTTGTCACTGCTTAGGAGAAGATTTTCCAACTGCAATAATAATAACAATAATAATAATAAATATTTAATAATTAATAACAATAATAATAATTATAACCCTGACCTTAAGATCTCTATGTATGATTGGTGGTTTTAATTTGTGCATGTGTAAGACAGCTGAGCAGGTCTGGTAAAATATTTGCAGGACCAAATTTCTTGTCAGTGTCTGGTTTCTCATTGCTTTGATCAGCTCTCCACCTGATTTATGATAATATTATTATTATAAATTATGAATAATAATAATAATAATAATAATAATAATAATTATCGACCATCAAACTTAATCAAAACTTTGAAAAATGAATAAAAAAATTTTTTTTTTTACAAAAACCTGAACAAAATTCAGTTAAGAGGAGAAACTCAGCCTGCCCATGACCAGATTCTTCCTTGCCTACACTGGCAGCTGCTACAAACTCTATAATGTTTTTATGTCCTGAAACCTTTTTCTATTGTTTCAGGGTAGAAATTAATTTATTTTTTGTAAAAAATTTATAAAAACATTATAATAAAGTATTATAGTTATTATATTATGCTATAATTTTACGATAATTTTATTCATTTCGACATTTATTTGACCAATTTGTGAATAGCTAACTAACCAGAATGGTTATTTCTTGGATTATTGATTTGGTCTTCTCAGAGTCACTTGATAGAAGTCTCTAGAGAAAAGAGTTTATTTATAATAATTATTAAAATATCATTAAGAATGAAATAATTATAATATAATAAATATTATTATAGAATTATTTATTTATTGATTATCAATAACAATTATTAAATGAAGCCTTAACTTATTAATTCTTAAGCATTGGAATATAATGTTAAAGTGGCTTCAACTTAATAAATTGATATGTAAATCAAGCACTAATTTGTTTATTTTTTTTCATTAAAGTTTTCTATAATAATAATTAGTTTAAATTAACTTCTAAAAATAATACGACTATCCCCAACCAACCCCCAACGAACCTTCAATGCATATTCTTTCCCTGATTTTACATCTTGGGCCACAAAAACAAACGCAAACCCACCTAGAATGAAATCAATAAAATAAAAATGCCAAGAAAAGTTAACAAAACAAATAAATTGACATTTTTTTAAATTAATTAATTAAAAAATAATTCAATTAAAATCGGATTTTGATCAGGGAGCAGTCAGTGGACACATACACACCTTCTGCTATCATCCTTTTGACGCGTAGTTTTTGCCTCCCCATCTCGACATTCTGTCCGACAAAATCATTTTCACTATTTGAAGAAACCGTATTTCCTAAATATCCTAAAGCCGATTTGAAGAATTCGGCCATTATATTTTTTATTGATTTTTTAATTTAATTTTAAACCCTCTGACTGTTTATTTATTTTTTCATATGCCGTTTCATGAAAAAGGTCTCATTTCAGCAGTTCATTTGACACAAAAGTGAATAAGGTGCTATAAAAGTATTTACTGTACTTCAGGTTTTTTCAAAATTTTGATCAATTAATCAAATTATTCATTTAAAATACATTCTTTCAATTATTTTTTAAATAATAGAACTTAAGTTTTAATTTTGGACATTTAAAATTTGAAATAAAAAGTGAATTAGTTCTCATACAAACCGTTTCCATAGCAACCGTTTACAAGTTTATTTCACGTGTTTCTATATTATGTTCAACATTTTTTAATATATATTTTTATATAATTTTATTGAAATAATAATTTAATATTTAAAATATGAGCGCTAAAGTGCTGACAAAAGAACCAGATCCGATCAACAAACCCACTAAAAAACGTGGTAAATTAAAAAAATTTTTAAATTCTTAAATTAATTAAATTAAAGTTAATTAGTTAACTGTTAAACTAGGACTTTATTGACAATTTAAATTAAAATCAATCGTTTGATATATTATTAATGAACAAATAATAATTCAACATTTTATTCAAGAAAAAAGTTTTTTTTAAAAATGTATTCATATAAAATTCTCACACAATAATACCTAGCTTAATCAGTGATTTGTCACATTTCAATACTTTTTTCAATTTTTTTTGTAGAAATGAGAAAGAAAAAGGCAGATAAATTAGTAGGGAGAATAGAAAGTGCAGATTCTAAAAAATCCCAAAAAATTTTTAACCCAAACAAATCAAACCTAACAAAATCTCAACTACAGGCCATAAAATATGCTGAAGAGTTAAGAGTTCATGAAGGTGATTTGAAAAATGTTAGTAAAAAAATGAAAGTCTTAAATAATAATGTTATTAATAAATAATGATAATAATAATAATATCATTATTATTATTAATGATAAATATTTAGGTCCATGAGCCAAAAGAGACCAAAGAATCAGAAAAATGTCCCAATGTTAATGTCTACGCTGTCAAAAAATTGAAACTATTACAGCCTGCTCTCAATAAAGCCGAGTTTGTTTGTAAAATAGTTATAATGATAATGATAACAAAAGTAATAATAATAATTATTATTATATTTATCACTAATATAAATAATAAATTTAGATGCAAAGTTGTTGTGGCAAGACCAGCGCCACCAGATGCGCCTTTGAAGAATCCGACCATCAAACTAGGTTTGAAAATAAAAATTTAATTAATTAATTAATTAATTTACAATTGTTTCATTAGTATCTCTCAGAAATACCAAATCAACATTGTAAATACCAGTTCATCAACTCGTTTCACGCATAACCTACACGTAATGATGACCTCTCTAGTATTTTGAACTCGGTTACAGCAACACCAGTGGCAGACGTCTTTACCATTACACTGTATTGCAAACGAATACTTTTATTGTTTTTAAAAGATGAAAATGAGTTTTTAGGCGGAATTCAATTGAACGCCAAAGGACAAATAATTCCTTATGGCTTGCTTGGTAGTGTTGGTGATTTTGTAGCACAGGCCATGAAACGAGGAGTTAGCCAAGTTGGTGATGATGTTGATGGCGGTAGAAATGGTGGAAAGGATGGTGGAGGGGATGTTGTTGGCGTTGTTGAGAATAATTTTGGATCTGTTGTTGATTTTTTATTGCTGGAAACGTTGTTGATTTTAGCCACTAATCTTTCAACCGTAATGCAACTTCAGGACGTATTACGAAAGGTAATAGGCGATGGTGAGGACGAGAAACCGCCATCTAGCGAAGCCCCAGTGACGAATTTTGAAGTAAAAAAGAAAAAGAAGAAAAGAATATTCGGGACTGATTTACTTAGAGAAGATAAACCGTTGAGAAATTGGGAAAAGCACATGAGGATCAGAAGATACCAGCAAGAATATCTTGCTTGTTGGTTTGCTGGATGTTTTTACGATGTCGTCAATGACTTTAATGTCGTTGATGTTATTATGGCGGTTTGATGCCGTTGTTGTTTTTTTGTTATAACTTTTCCTTCTTTGCTTTTCTTCTTTTTTGTTGATATATATCGAAACTAATCACACACACACCACACACACTCACACACACACACACACACACACACATTAAAGGTATGCTGAATAAGAACGTTGAAGACTTAGCTATGAATCAGGGTGAGATGTTGAGAAAAGTGAGCGAACATCAGAACATCATTGACGCCACACTGCCCTTCTTAGAAGCAGGGAAAGGAGGTCTGGTATTATTATTATTATTATTATTATTATTATTATTATTATTATTATTATTATTATTATTATTATTATTATTATTATTATAACGAAATAACGCCTATTGGTTTTTACAATAATTTTAATTTGTCACTGTTTAAAGTTCCATGGCCGCTATCTTTTAATGATAAATTGATAAACACTGTTATAAGATTATCGTATGACATTTACTGTGACAGGAACAAGCTATGATGCTAATTAAATATATTTCACCGTTCTGCACTTAACTTCACAATGAGCAAAATGGTCTTAACCTTTAATATTATTTTATACAATTTTTAAAAATTTTATCATTATATATATATTTTTTTATCTATATATATATATTTTTTTATCACTGTCTGTTTTTTTTATGGTGAAAAATAAAAGATGTTCCCATTATTATTATTATTATTATTATTTTTATTATTATTTTTATTATTATTATTATTATTATTATTATTATTATTATTATTATTATTAATGTTGTTGTTATTGTTATTGTTAGTTGTTGTTTGTTTTGATGCCGTTGTTGTTTTGTTGCTATTGTTTTTACCAGTTGTTACCTTTAAAAAGCATTTCACGTAATTAACATAATTTATGTAATTATGCAGTGAGAGCTGGAAGTGAATTTTGGCAAGAGGCAGTGGTTGTCGGTTCTGATCCATGCACTGCTCTGCAGTAAGTATTTTTCATTTCGTTGATGCTGCTGATGTTTATGATGTTGATGTTGTTAGTTAATCATCATCATCTTCATCCTCATCATCCTCATCATCTTCATCCTCATCATCATCGTCCTCATCATCAGCGTCACCAACAAAAACTCCCCCACACTACCATTTACAAACAGTTCGACCCTGACCAACACGCAGAAGGGTTACGCCCCACCCATTTCGTTTGTTGATACGTCGTCGTACATTCTCTGCCGCGAAAAAGGTCTAACTCATTAGCATAAAATAACATAAGTAGCTTACATTAACATATAAGCAGCATACATTAACACACGCACATTAATGTACACATATTTACCTGTGCCCACATTAACATGTACATATATTAACTTATCAATGGGTGTAAATTAACATAAATTAACATAAATTTAGGCCTACAGAAGGACAGAATAGGTTTGAGCACGCACAAACCGTGGTTGAGGTCTAATTATTTGCAGCAGAGGATGCATCAGATCGACAACCTAGCCTACGAACTCAATCCACATATTCCAGTCGGTTGTTTGTTTTGTTTTGTCTTCGTTTCGTTTTGTTATCATTGTGTTTATTATTTGGATCCCTATTACGTTTTCAGCGAACGGATGGACTGATAGTACTAGGCCAGAATCATTCATCCATCCAGCAACAAGTGGAGTGCGACAAACTGAGGCGACTTTATAGATTTGGCACTGCAGTGGCTTCATTCGACATGAACAACAAGGACGACGACAACATTGGGGTTGTCACCAACCTCCAAACTTGTGATGATAATGATGGTGTTGGTGATTATGGTAGTGATCCAACTAGAAGACCGTCATCAGGAGCAACAACAACCGCGGCATTAACCCCAAGGTTACCGGTAACAAATTTTGACCCCGACGAGGGCATACCCCAGATCAGAAGGGTGCAAAACTTCGTCTGCGGTCCGTCAATTATTTTCGGCGACTTCCGGGCCACTTTTTGTGAAAAATGTCATAGGGGGGAGGATGAAGATGGCGCTGTCGGTAATGATGATGGTGATGCTGTTTTTGGTTGCAGGTGCAATCATGAGGATGTTGATGTGAGGCTGTTGATGGAATGTTCGATTAATCAGGTGGCAGAAGCTTGTCTCACAGTCGAAAATAATGGGACCACTACCATATTTTATGAGTGGAGGGTGAGTTAGTTAGATGATTGACTGGTTGGTTGGTTCGTCGTTGAATGATTGGCTGGTTGGTTGGTTAGTTAGATGATTAGCTGGTTGGTTCGTTGGTTGGTTGGGTGGTGGTTGATTTTATTTTTGTTTACAAAATTCATCTGTTAACGTATGTAATATAATTTAATGGTTATTATACAAGAACGTACACACACACACACACACACACACACACACACACACACACACAAACAGAAACAACAATGCAAGAATCCTTTTGATCTGGACGAGCCACTGATATCAAAATTCTATTTCAGTCCATCTCCAGGTGTTTATGTGTTTGTGTGTGTGTGTTTGTTTGTTAGTGTGTGTGTGTTTGTATGTCTGTGTGCGCGTCTATGTATGTTCGTGTCGGTTCGTTCAAATCAGTTTTCTCATGCTCACGACAATGCAGGTTTCATAATTCCCGGTGAAACAAGCGAGTTTCGGTTTCATTTCAAATCTCTTGAGTCTGGGATTTTCCAAGAATGTTGGTCATTCAAGACGCATCCACTGCTCAATGCCGGAAGGTCGTTGGGTGTGACCTTAAAGGGCGTGGTCGTCAGGGCCGATGACCATTTTTGGACCAGGCAGAGTATTGAGGTTGTCATTACGTACTGTCACAAACAGCTTACTAAAATAACAATTATAATTAGAATGATGGTGGTGATGATGGTGATGACGATGATGATGATGATGGTGGTGATGATGATGATGATGGTGATGGTGATGATGATAGTGGTGATGATGATGATGATGGTGGTGATGATGATGATGATGGTGGTGGTGATGAAGTTAAGGATTGGAATGACAATAATCACATTTATGATGACGACGACGACAACGATGATAATGATGATGACGTCATCAATCCTACTCCATCAAAAATTAAGAAATGTCTTTCCAAACGAGAATCGAACCAGATAGCCGAGAATATAGTGCGCAGTGTTCTGCTGAACGTCAACAAGATAACATCAGCCGTGCATGGGGCTACTTCACCGGTGATTCCCTTATTGGAAGTTGATATCTTCATTCAGAAGAACGTTCGAGTAAGTTTGTGTGTGTGTTTGTATGTGCTCTTGCGTGTGCGTTTTAAAAAGTGCTTTTAAGTTTATTTTTTAAATATTTAAAAATTAATAATAATATAATGCAGTTGAATATTTTAAACCGAGCAGAGGTTTGTATACAGCAAGGAATACTGCGATCACTTGAAGTCGCTCTACAAAGAAGTCGTTGAATTTAAGCGGAACCTAACTCTTGATGACAATGATAATAACATGGCAACGGCCACAACAACTATTACTGCAAGTACTACTGCTACTGCTGCTGCTACTACTACTGCCGCTACTACTACTACTACTACTACTACTAGTGCTGCTACTTCTACAAAAGCAACAGCAAAAATAATAGCTACTAATGTAAGCACAATGACTACAACATCGACAACAACAACAACAACAAAACCACTCCTAACGGTTCATATAATACCAAAGAAATTAAATGAAGACGATGACGTCACAAAGGCGGATATGACGTCAACGATGATGAGTAACATTCACGCAACGCTCATGTATAATAACATCAATGATCTAATTCCAACGACTAACATAAAACCTGTTACTAATTTTGAGCTTCCGGAAACAGCTCAACAACAAAAATCGGAAACAGGTCAGACACAACAAACACAACCGGAAGCAGGTCAACCAGAAGGACAACAAATCAGCAATCGAGAACCACGACAAGCAGCAAAAACAAACACGACACGACCAATAATAACCAACAGATCCTCAAATCCGGTAGAGCAAAACCAGACATTAAAACCATCATCGTCGTTATCATCATCATCATCGCCGTCCTCTTCTTTTTCCTCCTCCTCATCATCATCATCGTCATCTCAACCGATTGTATCAGTAGAAGATGTTTGGGATTTAGATGTCGACACTTTAAAATCGGTCAGACCATTCATCATCATCATCATCATCATCATTATCATTATCATCATCATCATCATTATTATTATTATTATTATTATTATTATTATTATTATTATTATTATTATTATTATTATTATTGCTATTATTATTGCTATTATTATTGCTATATATATATATTTAAAACTCAATTTTTATTAAACTTCATTTCTCATTTCTTATTATTTTGAATTGTATTTCGTCGATTGAATGAATAAAATATGTTCACATTATTATATATAATATTTTACTGGCAGTTGATCATGAGTCTGCCGGGGGACTGCGACGAGAGGGAGATGTGCCTAGAAAGGCTGAACGCCACTCTGCTGAAGATGTCCTACTTTGTGGTACAACCATGCCAGCAATCTCTCAATAATATACTGAGGTTAAGTAGTAGTAGTAGTAGTAGTTGTTGGAAAAGTAGTAATAGTAGTAGTTGTAGTAGTAGTGGTAGTTGTTGTAGTAGTGGTGGTAGTAGTGGTAGTAGTAGTGTAGTAGTTGTTGTAGTAGTGGTGGTAGTAGTAGTAGTAGTAGTAGTAGTAGTAGTCGTAGTGGTAGTAGTAGTAGTGACAGTAGTAGTGTAGTAGCAGTAGTATTGGTAATTTTTATGTCATCCAACCAAATGACCAAGTAGCGAATCAACACAACACAACTAACCAAACAACCGACAAACTAACTAACCAATTAATCAATCAACCAGCCAATCAATCAACTAATCATTCAACCAACCAATTAATCAATCAACCAACCAATCAATCAACTAATCATTCAACCAACCAATCAACCAACCAATCAGCCAACCAATCAGCCAAACAATCAATCAACCAACCAACCAATCAACCACGTAGCTACACGCGGGTCAACCAGTGCACAGAAGACATAACGAACGATGCCAATTTCCTTACAGAAAGCCAGCCAACTATATCAGCTGATGTTAGCATTGCTACCCCATACAAATAAAGCATAACTTGCGTATTAAAAGTTGCCTTTTAAAATGGTATTTTGGCGTATTAAATGCGTATTAACGGCGTATTTAAGACAGCTTAGGGCAGCTAGGTAGTGTAATGGTTAGAGCGTTTGGCTCTGCCGTTGCATAGACTGGCTTCGAACGCAAGCAGATCCTCGTCTATTGCATGCACTGTGAGGAGATACGTGGATTCAGGCGTATTCACATGAGTATCCACATGAATATTCACATGTTTCTCGTTGATACTTCTAAAAAATAATATTATTATTTAAAATTCTTATTTAGGTCAACAGACCAGCAACATCAGGCGGATGTTCCGCTAAATTATACGACGGCATCAAATATAAGGAGAAGTTCTACTCACTGGTCAGTTCATTTTGAATAAAATTAACATCTAATTTGCATCAATTAGTATAAGTTAACGTTAAATAAACTTTTTTGCATGTAAAACTAACATTAACTTATTATTGAGTTGGATCAATTTTTCCATCAATCCATCCATCCTTTCATACATTCATTATTAACTCATCCATTTATCTATCCATCCATCTATTCATCCATCTATCTAATTCATTCATTCATCGATGAATCAATCGACAGGCCCACAACACGATACTGAACTTGACCTCTGACCTAGGCCTCTTTCTCGATGATGTCACATCCCTGCTGACGTAATACGACCAAATATAACGTCATATTGTTGCTGTCGTCATTACAACCAATTATATTTAATTAGCTAATTAATTAATTAATTGACCAATTAAACTGTGAACGTAGTTAGTTTTGATTAATAATACTGCTAACTAAAAGTTCGTTTTGATTGAACATTAATCCATGTTTATTTATTGGTTTTATTTCTTCTGTCATTCTTCTGTTCAATCATTCATCATTCATTTATTAATTAATTAAATAATTCATTCATCCATTCATACATCCATTCATACATACATTCATTTATTTTGAATAATTTTTTCTACTTGAATAAAAGGCTTTACTTGAAAACGCTTCAATTTTATTATATAAAAATTAACACTAATTATAACACACACTCAAACAAACACACACTCACACACACATTCAAACACACACTCACACACACATTCAAACACACATACACACACACTCAAACACACAGAACCACAAACATTGGCACGCACGCACACAAATACACACATTTACATACTCATAAACGCGTATACCTGGTATAATAATTTTTCTCATTTATAATTGTTTCATAATTATCAATATTTATTATTATTATTTTTAATTATTATTTTTATTATTTGCTTTAAAAATTATTATTAATTATATTTAATTATAAAATTATATTTAATTATTAATATTTATTGTTATTATTTTTAATTATTATTTTTAATTATTATTTTTAATTATTATTTTTATTATTTGCTTTAAAAACTCCGCAAGAAAGAGCAACGTAATAACATCACAAAGCATACACAGTAGTACAAAATAATTACGATAGCCAGGTTGATGGAGATGAATGAGTGAATGAATGAGTGAATGAAGGAATGCACGAATGAATGAATGAATGAATGGATGGATGGATGGATGGATGGATGGATGGATGGATGGATGAATGAATGTTCATTCATTAATTGTAAATTGGTTGATTGATTTATTGACTGACTGACTGAATAATTGATTGATTGACTGAAGAATTGCTTATTATATATATATATATATATATATATATATATATATATATATTTCACATACATGAAGAATTCTACTTAATTCACCATCACGATAATGTCAATAAATAGATAACCATTTTTTACAATAATGAAACAATGAAATCAATTAATTGTTATAATTACAAACTGACTGATGTTAATGTACCAGAAATTCAACACACACAAACACACACACACACATACTCACACAATTATACTCCCATATAAACATAAACAGACATATCTATATATAATACGCATATACACACGTACAAAACAAACACACAAACAAACAAACACACAAACAAACAAACACAAACAAACAAACACACATACACATACACGCACATACGTCTAATAATGCATCACATGAGATGAGAACGATTGACTGTCGCTACATTTCAGACCACACAAGTTACATTGCCAGGGGTCGTTAATGTTGTGTAGACCCATGTGTAAATAGTAAGAGGTTTTCTCACTGAATATCAGTTCGCAGTGCACACACATTGATAATTTTCCCGCGTTTTTGCGCACGTAATTTAGAATGACGTCATCGTCGTTGTTATTGTCGTTGTCGTCGTCGTTGTCGTCTTCGCTGCTGCTGTGGTTGTTGTGGTTGGAGGCTGTGACGTGTCGTTGTGGAGATGTGAGTCTCTTGTTGCCGGTACGTTTTAGGTTTTTGAAAATTTTATGGCAGTAATCGTAATGCTTGATGGAGTCGTATTTGTTTGTTGATGTTGTTGTTTTTACGATGTTGTTGTTGTTTGAAAGTTTGTTGTTGTTGGGGATGTTGTTGGTGTTTGTTGTTTCAAATTCTCCGTGCATGCCTGCAACTTTAGAGTCGTCACCCGTGAAAACATCAACCGGGGATAATGACATCGGTCTCTGTTGTTGTTGATGTTGTTGTTGTTGATGTTGTTGTTGTTGATGTTGTTGTTGTTGTTGATGTTGTTGTTGGTAGTGTTTAGTTTGTTTTCTAAGCGCCTGTTGCATAAACGCATGGGGGAAAATGATTCCAGGAAGGCTGTTGATGTTGTTGCTGCTACTGTTGCTATTGGTGTTGCTGTTGAGAAATTGTTGTGAAAACAATTGGAAGGGTGTGTTGCTGATGGCGGAAGTAGCAGAGGACGAATATGATTGGTCGAAGTGTTGGCTCGTTAATTTATTCATGTAGAGCATTGAAAACATCTCAGCTGCTGGTAGCGCTCTTGCCAGCGGTGATGATGATGACAGTGTAGCTACTGATGATGATGACGAAGTCGGTGTTGATGATGATGCCGGTGATGATGATGATAGTAATGACAGTGGTGGTATCGGTAATGATGATGATAACGGATATGATGAGGACGATGATGACGCAAATAACGCAGACAATGGCAAGGACTTCAAGAATGATTGGTAGATCTTATCACTGTTCAGCATATCATTGCTGATATCATCCCCACCGCCATCATCATCATCATCATTCCTATCCTCATCATCATTATCACAACTAATATCAGATGTATTTTCATTGCTACAAGCACGTTTTGATGTTTTGTGAGCAGCAGTCTGGCCCTTACTGCTGCGAAATTGGGTTCTCTGTGGAACCATTGAATACCTTGCCTGGCTAGATCTAGGCCTGACATCGAGATGGATCTTTTTGGCACCTTTCAACTCATGCAAACATTCCACGGAATAGGATTTGAATAGTTTCTTCTGTTTCGTCAGGTCGAAATCATGAACAAATTGGCCGGGTGAAGTCTGTTTTGTCATTTCTGTAGGTTTTAGTGCGCTTTTGTTTCTGCGTTTTTTGGTGATCAGGGTGTCGTCGTTGTTGTTGCTGTCCATATCATATTTTTTATAATTTCTATTGTTATTAGTTATTATTAATTTGGGTTTTTCCAGGTTGTTGTTTAGTTTCATTTTCTTCCGTTTCAGTTTTCCGTGTTTACTCTCTGACTGATGATTCTTTTTACTCAGTTGGACATTTCCTTTTGATCTGTTGTCCGCATCATCATCATCGTCGTCGTCGTCATTCTCATCATCATTTAGGACATAACTATTATTATTGATATTCCGTTTTGATTTGTCATCGTCATCATCATCGTCGTCATGGCGTTCCTTCGTTTCGTCATCATCTACGTCATAATCGATGACGTCATTCTCCCCGCTTGATTTCAATTTTCTCTTTAAATTTTTACCAATCACAAAGTCTTCTATCAGATGTTGTTGTTGTTGATGTTGTTGTTGTTGTTGTTTTTGTTGTTGTTGTGGTTGTTGTTGTTGTTGAGTTTTACGTGCTTGTGGTTGCATCAGATCTGAGAGAGAAAAATATGTGACCGTTTGTAACAACAATAATATAAAATATTTATCAATTATGATTATATAGTTATCTATTTATTACAATTCTTCTTGAATGGGTGAATGAATGAACGAACGAACGAACGAACGAATGAATAAATAACTGAAAGTATAAATAACCTTTTTTAACTTTCTCATTAATGCTCAGCGGCGATGAATTGTTCGGGGAATCGCTATTGTTATTATTATTGTTGTTGTTATTATTGTTATTGTTGTTGTTGTTATTGTTATTGTTGTTGTTGTTATTATTGTTATTGTTGTTATTATTGTTGTGGCTGTTTATTGATTTTGTTGAAGATGTTAGTGCATGAACGTTACTGCTATTGTTGTTGTTGCTGCTGATGTTGTTGCTGTTGGTGTTGTTGATGTGATGGTTGTTGTTGTTGTTCAAGCTTCTTTCTGCTAGCATTGTCATAATTTGTGGGTAGTTAAGAAAGTTACTGAACATTCCTAATGCATTCCACTTCATTAGGTCTTCCAAAAGATGTTGTTGTTGCTGGTAGTTTTGTATGGGAAATTGTTGTTGTTGTTGTTGCTGCTGCTGCTGTTGGGATGGATGATGGATGTTTTGATGTTGTTGCTGTTTTTGTTGCTCGTGTTTTGGGTGTAGTGGTTGTTGTTGTTGATGGTGCTGTGAATTTTCTTTCAGATGGTTTGAAGTGTTTGTTGTCGGCAACATCATCGATAAATGCGAGTGCATCTTTTGTTGTTGTGGTTGTTGTTGTAACAAAATATTTTGTTGCTGTTGTTGTTGTTGCTGTTGGTTGTAGTTGTGTTGTTTTTCTTCGTAAGGTGGGCTTGCAGATTTTGAATGTTTATCGCCATAGTGAGGTGATGATTTGTAGGCGCGGTTGAATGTTGAAGAACTTTGTGGCTGCTGCTGTAGCTGCTGCTGCTGCTGTGGCTGCTGTGGTTGCAGTAACGAAGTCCCACTGCAGAAATGTTCGTTTGTTTTATCATCGTCGAACGGTGACGACTTTAAGCTTTTGTTAACAACAACACCGTGAGAGTTATTGTTGTTGGATGAGTTGTTGTTGCTTGCGTTTGAATCGTTGCTAGCGAGTTTGTTTTTGTTGTTGGGGGCGTCGCAAACTTCATTCTGGGCCCTCATCATCATGTGGAATGCGTAGGAGTCTCTGTTTGCAAAGACTGACCGGCAGTCGATGCAGATGAATATGCTCTGCATCTTTACCTGCGGCGTGTTTTTGTTATTTTGCTGAAAGTGACCGTCTAATTGACTGAAATACATTAGAGCAATCTATCAAAATAATCTTTTTATTATCAATTCTATGTTTGTTTCATGTTTGTTTCAATCACCCAAGCCATTTTAATCATGTAACTACTTTAATCAGTCAATCACTTCAGTCAATCGATCAATTAATCGATCAATTAATCGATCAGTCAATTGATCAATCAACCAATCAATCAATCATTCACTAGGCAGTCAACCCACCGACCTTCATCTCCTTATGCTTTGAGCTGTTCAGATGCGCCAGCAGGCCTCGACAGGTGTGCAAATCCACCGAACAGATCGTGCAAATGAAATCTTTTTTTGAAACATTTGGCGAGTGAAGAGTCTGATGGTTGAGAAGCGACTTACTCGATGAAAACCTTTGAACGCACACGGGGCACACGAACGCGTCCCCTTTGGGGTACGACCCGATGATGTCCCTATGCACCCCCGTCATGTGGAGGAGGAGGTCTTCGACGCTGATGAAGTAAGAGTCGCAAACGTAGCAGACGTGGCTGCTGTTGAAGTGAAGAAGTTTGTGTTGGAGGAGGGCTTCGAAACGCTGTAGCTCACCCTGGCATACCTTTGCGGTAAATTTTTTCATTTTTAGTGTTGTTGGTGTCGTTGTTAATTTTGTTGTGTTCGTGTTGTTTATGTAGTTGTTTAAGGTTGTTAAAATCGTTAGTTGTGTTTTATTGTTTCTTAAGAGACAGAGAGAAAGAGAGAGAGAGAAAGAGAGAGAGAAAATAAAGAGAGAGAAGAGAGAGAGAGAGAAACAAAGACAAAATGATACAACAACGAAAGCAACAACAACGACAACATCAACCAACCTCACAAACGCACGTTTCAACCTGGCTCCTATTACTCGATCTAACATAAGGTCTCCGCCTAGTAACAACAGGACTGGATGTCAACAACAACAACTGCTGCTGCTGTTGCTGCAACTGCTGCTGCTTTTGTTGCTGCTGTTGAAAGTGTTGCTGAAGTTGTTGCTGCTGCTGAAGTTGCAGTTGCTGCTGTTGTTGCGGGTTGTCGTCGACATCTTTGATTTCTTCTTTAACTGTGGCTTGACCCAGCAGTAGAGCGGATATAGGGCTTGGGGTGCCCTCTTTGTTCATTGGTTGGATTTTATGTTAATTTCAAAAGAGAGAATGGAGTTATATTGGGTTGTAATTATAATTATATTTATAACTATTATTATTGTTATTATTATTAATATTATGGATGTTTTTATTAATATTATATTAATGGCTAGCAGATGTTTTTGTAACTACTTTTGAATAAAATAAATAACATTAAAAAATCATTTGCAGCATTCATAACGAAAAGTATATAATACACAAATTAATAATAAACTTAATTGATCCGTTAATTAAATAAGTAAATTATTAATTAATTAATTAATAGAATAAGATAATGAATTAAATTAAAATCATTATTAGAAGAGTAATAATTCATAATATTTCATGACATATTACGGAAACGCATATCCCACTCGATTCATAAGAATTCAAAAAGACAGATCGAACACGTCCTTATATACCAAGATAACATGCGTATACGATAAACTATATATATATATATATATATATATATATATATGTATATATATATATAAGGAATATATGTAAATATTGAACAATGAATATATGTAAATATTAATATATGTGTGTAAGTAATTATGTTTGTTTGTATGTATGTATGTATGTATGTATGTATGTATGTATGTATGTATGTATGTATGTATGTATGTATGTATGTATGTATGTATGTATGTATGTAAGTATGTATGTATGTATGTATGTATGTATGTATGTATGTATGTATGTATGTATGTATGTATGTATGTATGTATGTATGTATGTATGTATGTATGTATGTATGTATGTATGTATGTATGTATGTATGTATGTATGTATGTATGTATGTATGT